GAGCACAGATACGGTTTCTCTCCGGTGTGAATCCTCTCGTGACAATTCAGATGACAAATCTGGCGGAATCGTTTCTCGCAGTGTTTGCATTGATACGGTTTCTCATCAGAGTGGATTTTCTGGTGTGATTTTAGACTAGATAACTGCCTAAAGGTTTTCCCACATTCACTGCACTGATACGGCCTCTCATTGGTGTGAACACGCACATGTTTCTTCAGATGAGATCCATTACTGAAGCTCTTCTTGCAGTGAGGACACTTGTGCGGCTTTTCTCCCGTGTGGATTCGCTTATGAGCATCAAGATTTCCTTTGGTGCTGAAATACTTGTCACATTCGCTGCAGTGGAAAGACTTTTCACCGTGAGTCTTCAAGTGAACTTTTAGACAAGAAGGAATGAAAAAACCCTTCCCACACTGTTCACAGTGAAACTCCTCCTTCCCGCTGTGCTCTTTTGAATGAAGTCTCCTCTCTACTGCGGTAGGAAAGCTGATGTTGCATATCTTACAGCTGAAGTCTTTCTGTTCTGTGTGTGTTCTCTCGTGTCTCGCTAAATGACCCTCTGAACTCAGTGTTTTTCCACAGGTGGCGCAGGAGAAACTCTTGGTCTTCAGCTGCTCTTTTGAGGTTGAGATGGTTTCTTCATCTCCATCAGAAGATGAACCACCAACGGCATCTGAAAGGAACAAACCATTAATAAAACAACTTTAAAATATACTTGAATAAAGTTAGAGAACATCTAGGGATGCACCGAAATTAAAATTCCTGGCTGAAGCCGAAACCGAACAAAATGAAACACTGGGCCGCAGGCCGACTACCGAACACGGTTTTCCACATTTAAATAATATTTTTGGCCATTTTTCAAACCCCCTTCTTGAATCAGGCATGTATTTTTGTACTGTACAAATAAATGCAGCCTTGCCGAGCAGAGAAGACTTCTTTTAAAACATTAGAAAATATTTCAGATACAAATCTATTACAGATTTGAACACTATGTGTGAATGTTATAATAAATGTATTAATAGAGCTGTTGTAATTATTATTAGGGCCCGAGCACCGATAGGACCCTATTGGAATTGCTTCGTTTCTTCTTCTTCTTCTCCAAAGTGAATCGCATTTTTGAGGGCCAAACTCATGAAACTTTGCACACACATCAGAACTGGCGAAAATGTACATCTGATATGGGTTCCAGAGGTGGGTGTGGCAAAATGGCTTGACAGCGCCACCTATAAAATTTCAACAAAGTGCCCCTCGAGCTACGTTTCACGTACACATACGAAACTCGGTACACACGTAACACACCAATACCTACAAAAAGTATCTTGGTTCAAAATCCGAAACCCAACAGGAAGTCCGTTATTTTGAATTTCCTGTATAATTTTTGGCCAGTTTTTGTCATTTTCAGGCCTTGTACTATAGCAAACTCCTCCTACAATTTTAATCGGATCATCTTCAAATTTGGTGAGGGTCATCATAAGACCTTTGTGACATTAAATTGCGAAGATCTTGAGTTCCCTTTCGATACTTCACTCGTACTGCATCTTGCTTAAGACGCATATGGGAAAAAGCCTTTTCATTCACGCAGTGAAACTGCACGGCCATTGGTTCGTGCAGGGCTTTAAAAACTAACCAATGGCACGGCAGCGGAGCTCCACTAGCCCATCCGGCGACTTCAAAGAGCTTCTAAAAGAGCAGCAGCGTTCGCACCATTATTGCGGGTCTCCCCTGCATGCCGATGACGGCCACAAGGAGTGCGTTTCCTGCTTGGGGAAACCCCATGAGGAAGCTGCGCTCACAGGAGCTATTTGCTCTCATTGAGAGAGTTTTAGTCTCGCCTCTCTCCGCTCACGGATCGCTTTCTTTTCAGAGAGCGACTAAACTGCACGGCCATTGGTTCGGGCAGGGCTTTAAAAACTAACCAATGGCACGGCAGCGGAGCTCCACTAGCCTATGGCGACGAAGCCCGCCAAAGCTCGCCAGAATGGGTGGGGCATCTGCCTATATAAGCGGGCGCTCGCCACAGGATTCTCAGATTTTTTTCTCCTTCAGCGACGACT